AGAGAGAGAGAGAGAGAGAGAGAGAGAGAGATGGTGGGGAAGATGGGGCTTAAGACGAAGGGTGCAAGAGGCAATGTGACAGAAGGTTGGAAAGATATGGGATGGAAAAAGAAAAATTTTAGGATCAGGATTTATGTTGAGGGCAAAGATGGGTTGTTAGAGTTAAAAAAAAGGTGCAAGGGTCCAAGCGGTGTGAATAAACGTTTTTTTTAAAAACACTCTATGCTTCAAGTAATTTTGGGGGGTATGGAGATTTTCCCTTCCACTTTTTTATTTATTTTTGGTTATGTAAGACATTAGTGAAACTAAAGGGTACCTAAAAAGTGAATAATGAAATACAAAAATATTGTGTAACTATTTTTCACTTATAATTGCAAGTTCACATTTGTTGTGTAAAAATAATTTTTTATACATGTTTTTCATTATTTTTTCTTTTCTATGCATCTTTCCTATTTTTTGTTCTTAATTATGTGAGCGATTCACCTAAGTCCGCCACTGCTAGTCCCAAGCCTAGATGAGAAAGGAGGAGGGTTGTGTTAGGTTGGCAGCCAGTGGAAAACTTTTGCCATATCCTTATTATAAATCTGGATCCAAGTTACCTAAATAGCTGGGATAAGGCTCGGATGATGATGGTGTGAGCGATTTGACCAGTGAACCAGTCCTATCCAACCTGTCTAACACGATTAGTGTCCTTGCCAATTGGGTCATCCTTTCGGTCTTGATAGCAGCCATTGTCCATACCGGTTCGGTCATCCTTCTTATCTTGATAACATTGTGTCAATATTTTCCCATTCTTTTTTTCCCTCTTCTCTAACATCCTTTAATTTTAACCAATTGCTTCCCATTGCTCATTGCTATCTCATACCCAAATATGTATTATAGAATGGAAGAACCTTCAAATCGCCTTGGAGAATTTTTCTACAGTATTTTCTCCTCCCTTCTTTACCGTCCTATCTTGATCGAACTATTGAGAGCACATGTCATCATCATCAGAGCCTTATCCCAGCTTTTTGGGGTCAGCTACACAAATTTACGTTCCGCCATTCTGCTCTTTCAAGGGCTATACCCTTAGTGAGACCATAAGTTGTTTACAGGGAACGCTCTAGCACGAGCAGATAACGCAGATTCATGATTCATTGAAAGTCACAGCAAAGTTTTACACTGGCTGTCTACCTAACACAACCCTCCTCCTTTACCTGGGATTGGGACTAGCACTGGGCCAAACAAGGAGTTAGTTGAGAGCACATGTGAGTATTTTAATTACATTTTTCTTTTACAAATTGGAATTGGCTAAAATTTTGGCATGTATGATACCTAGGCACACCTATAAGAAATATTTCTCATAAATAAAATGATCACAATACCCCCAAAATAATTAGGGGTTTTATGGTCATTTTAATTTTTAGAAATTTAATTTTTTATTTTTTATAGGTGCATTTGAGTGAGAAGTATACACGCCTAGAATTTGAGCTCAATCCAATTTATGAAAAATATATAAAATTCAAAACACTAACATGTGAAGCCAACGTTTAGATTCGATCAAATGGTGATGAGAGGATGAGTGACTGCTAGAGAGAAGTATATCTTTTAATTTTGCAAGAAATCAAAAATATTGAAATTTTATTAAACTTAGATAGAAATAAAAAAATCTTAGATTTTTTAGTGTTTTTACTCTCTAAAACACACAGTGGGTTTTGGGGGCATTCGACCCTCCCCCCCCCCCTTCTTATTTCCCCTTTTTTTGTTTTGGGGTGGGGGGAGGGGGGTTTGGTTGGAGTTGCTAAAAATGTCGTGGCCATCATTGTAAAAAATGCCCCATGCCAAGGGCCTATTTCCACCCTTGCCCAAGTGCGTCGAGGCACCTAGGCAGGTGTTAAGCGCCTGACGCCTAGGAAGCCCGCCTAAGAGGCGCCTAGGCATTTTGGCCTCTAGGCCACCTAGGAGGACGGCCATATTTTTTAACATTGAATATAATTAACCATTGCATCAACTTGAACTATGGTTTTCTAGACCTTTAACCCACTAAAGCACAGGTATAGTGAACATTAGTCCCACAACACCCCGCATAGATTCTTGGTTGTCTTAGGTATTACATAAGACACCAAATGAAATCTCCCATGTCCTCAGCATTGTCCTAGGATCTCCTAATTTGGTAGGCGATCCCTTCTAGGATCTCGATTATGTCGCTCGCAGAACGCATCTCTAAGGGATCTGGATTTTTAAATTTTGGGCTCTCGAACTCCACTCATAGGGATCCTGATTCTTGCTATTAGGGATCACAATCCTAACCTTAAAGACCAATACAACAACCAAACTGATGATTTTCTTTGTTTATAGCCAATTAGCAAAACAATTATTGTTTGCTATAAAAAATAAGATCCCTACTTTAAAGAGTATACACAATCCTAGATTATCATACAGTTTAAGGTTGGTAACAAGATCCCTAAAACGTTGGGATCAAGATCCCCAACAAGTTGGAATCTCGATCCCTAACATATGCAAGGTACAGACGACATTCCCAACCATAGGGATCTTTTAACATTTCATGTTCCCATCGCTCCCGATACCTTCCCGCTCTTGATCCCAACAACTATGGAACAAACACTATGCATAGTCATATTGTAACTTAATCCTATATAATCGCAAGGAGCTAATAGAGATATGGATTGGTCCTTTATACGATGCACAATCAGTTGTTGCAGGTTTTGATCTTTTTTTTACGGGAATGTACGAGAAGGTAAATGCAGACTCTCTCATAAGGGCTTTTTATCAAATCACTCTTAGCATACTTGAATTTTAGTGTCACCCTCTGATTTATTTTAGCCGTGTTGGTGCTTTTCCATTTTGATCTTCCATTAAAAGGTTCTTTTTATTTTAAAATACTTACCCAAAATATTAGTTTTCTAACCCAAAATATTAGTTTTCTAGAACATTGATATTTCACAAGCCATGAGATATTGGTGTTATGAAGAAAAGAACAATATTAGTATTTGAGAATCTCAAGTGGCTTAAAAGAAAAGAAGGTATTGGTAAGTCAAATGCTGATATCTTGTGATAGATATTTTTTAGAATGGCATGTTTTAATTAGGAGTGCAAAATTGGAAAGTGCCCCTCCAACCAGTCTAAAACAAGTACGGAATGGATCGAAGTGTCTAAACAAAAAAGCAATTATTTAGGGTTCTTTAACAAAATGCCCATGTTTTCAATGTTTTCATTTGGGATAAATAGAAGAGGATTAATGAATTTGGCAGACTCATTCGTTTAGGACCATAGTTGTTGGAGGCAAGAGCAGGTCCGAGAGTGGGATTGGTTTGGGGAATGCCAAATCGCCATGGGGTGGAAGCTCCCTGGGGTTGGAATAGCGTCAGTACATTAAAAAAGTAAGGAGCTAGATCCTAGGATACATGGGAGCGAGATCCCATGTTACTGGGATTGAAGTTTTGACTAGGAGAGATACAAGCTCAACTATACATAAAATGAGATCAATAGATATTACGTGATCAAATTAGGATCGAGCCAATGCCCGCTCGATCCAGTACCATACACCTTAGCTTTTTACCAATGCCATAGTTATAGTACTCCAATTGATTACAATAATATATTTTAATAATATCATAATTAAACTTCCAATGATAGTAAGCTGTAGCTTTTTAATACCATATTCTAGTATACCACGATTTGATATGCACCACAGTTAACATATGCTAAAGAAATAAATTTATAATACTAAGGACAACAGCAATAACTCAATTAATAGTATAGCTCATCTCCTTAGAGGGATCCTACAAGCATGTAGACTGAGATTCCATTTTATAAGGAGAGAGATCCCTATTTCTCTAAACCCAGCTCCTTCTTAGATCCCTTAAAGGAACCGCGGGATCAAGTTCCTAAGGTGAGACTGTGGCCTTACCCCCAAGGGATACGAACCTTCTGCAAAGCCACACTCACAAGCATGACAGACAGTTAATGTAAAACTGTTACAAGCAAGGATGCTTCAAAGCATAATACTTCTGGTGCAGTGAAAACTGAAACATACATAATCAAACAAAAATAAGAAGGGAAAAAAAACAAAGAAAGCAGGCCACAATATGGTCGCACAAAACAAAAAACAATTACATTCATGAACAGTGAGATTCTTCATTCAGATGATATTAGGGCCAATTAGAATCAGTTAAAAATGCAGCCTGTAGAGCCAATATTACATGCAAAGCTCCAAAGCAAAGAGGGAAACCAACCTCATTTACAGAATTAGGCAGATTTTGATGGCTCTTCAGCTGAAAATAAAGGTAGCTAACATATGCAAATAGCATAATGCAGCTGCTAAACCTTGAAAGAGCCAACTCGGATTTCCCAAAATGCACCTCAGTGTGTGTAAAATGAAGAACAGCTGGAAACAATATACCCATGACAGCCATCAATAACAATCCAGAGTTCACAACAGCAGCTGCCTGTAAGATAAAGAATGTCACTCCAAATAGCATCATAAATCACAAGCCACATGCATCATGTAAGTGCCTTTCTCATGTCACCACGCAGGGAAAAATATACCTTGTTAAAGACCTGATCTTTATTACAGAAAACGAGACCTCCCGATAAAAAAGCGCATCCAAGCACTAATAACATATTAGACAAAATAGAACCAAGCAACGATTGCTGAACAACACGTATCATCCCTTGCTTCAGAGCATAAATTGAAATTATCATTTCTGTCGCATTTCCAAATGTTGCATTCAGCAGTCCCCCAACTGCAGGTAAAGATGTGTTAATTGGTGTCCCAATAGAATAAATAAAAGAGAGCCAAATCAATAAATAATTCGCAACATAACTACACAATAACAATTGAACTAATCATAGCAAAAATATCTAGCAAGAGTAGAAAACAATTTTAGAAATGAATTTGGAAGATAGATTATAAAAACAGAACATGAACTAGGAAAGAGAAACTTCAAATAAACTACAAGAAATCCTTAAGGGCAAAACCATTATAACGTCGTAAAACAATGCATGGAAAACATGTTGCCATTCAAAATCACCAAGAAAATAAAACTAAATCCACAAAAAACACATTGGGAACTTGGACAAACACAACGAGAAGCTTGGTAATAATGTAAAAGTGACGTGAGAAGAAAATATTAAATAAACTACAAATGGAACTAAGCATAAGAGCTAATGTGCGTGAAGGAAGCTTATTACAAGCATGAGAAGCAAGATCAAACCAATAAAAGAAAAACAAATATAGACTCGGAGAATGTATAACTAGAAACAGTGCTGCATTTATAGGCCAGTTATCCTCAAGGACGAAACTTGGAAAGGGTAAAAACCAAGGCATCATGGCCGAGCGTATGGATTAGTAGTTCAAGAATTTTATCCACAACATGGGAGGGACTAAGGCCAACTATTTTGTCTTAAGCATACTTGGTTCATTCAGGTCAGCCATACACATCAAAGTTATAAGGCGGCCAATTGCTTTTGATAGAAAGCATTAGGGGGCAATTTGGAGTGTCCTTGCTTAGGTGAGATTGCAAGGCTTAAAGATCCTTCTTCTTTCAATGGAAGCAGGGAAAGGGAGTTTACCAAGACAAGCCATAAGCCAAATGGAACCCCAACAAATTTTCTGTCAGAAATTTTATGATGTACCTGTTCAGCAACCTGATAAATATGGAAGCCGGGTCTTAACCAGTTTGGATACTTGATGAAATGTGTTCTTCTATGGTTAAAGTCTGAACAAGAGCGTTAACCTTGTTAAACTGCTTCATGTGTTCTTGTCCATATCCATATTGAGCCCCATGAAAATGCAACATTTAATGTTTTGGATTAAAACTGGTATGCTGTTTTTTCTCCAATGCACGAAGCAGGAGCACTTTTATGTGTGTGCACAGTTAAACAGGGGTGAAGTGGATCCAGATAAGTAATTAAAACATGTGGTGGTGGTCACCTGAAAAGCCACCCCAACAGCAAGAAAATGTGTTTTTGGGTGGCATCCAGATAAGGCATAATTCTATTGCCATCAATTTGTATATGAAGATGCCTAAGCTGTGATGCCAAGTTACAAATAAGTATATGGGCATTGGGAAGTAGGGAAATGACTTGGCAAACCCAGGACATAGATATTGGTAGGAGCATCCCATTTGGCACATTTCCAGACAAATATTATAGCACATATACTGGACAAATGTTTGCATTCGACATTGATAAAAACATACAACATATTATATGCCATACCTTTGTCAGTTCCCTGAGGCAGTGCCACATTGTCAGAGGAATGCACATTTGTTTCTGGTGGTTTTCACATAAGCATCACTAAATTCTAGATATAAGATTGCTGTGTGGATCACAATTCAAAAATGGAATACATGGCAAGGATGGGAAGGTCCATTACATTACCTAATGATGAAATGGTCCATTATGAATGAGTTATTACATAGGGAAAATTGAGAAAGCAAGGAATAAAAGGAAAAATCAGATTCCAATGGGACAAGCGGAAAAATTTGTAGATGCAATATTTTTATATTGTTTTATATGCTCAAAAACCCATTATTTATTTGTTAAAAACACCATTATAGTCATAATAATGACAGCAGTTGAAGATAATGATTGTTTTTCTGTTTTCCCTCATATTAATTAACAAACTCAAATCTGTTGCACAGTGGCCATTATTTTGAATAGATCTGTTATGTTGGTAGTTTCTGAGTTTTATGCTCCCCATCATCACCGTGAAGCAACACAATGGGTGAGGATTCTTACTTTTATAAAAGGGTGAAATTTTCATGAAGCCCGTGCTTCTTAACCATGGGCCCAATTAAATCATCAAGGAGGATTCAAAGGTGGCTTATCCTTCTCACTAAATCTAAATGCTATTAAGGATGGGTTTTTAAGAAGGTGGATGTACAAACAAGAGATCCATAATATCTTGAAAAAAAACCCTCCACATCAACGAGTGGAATGGCTAAGTGGTACTTCAAAAATTTCAAAGATCACAGATAGGCATTTCATCTATTCACCTTGAGTACTAAATAATGGAATTGATAGACTGAGGCTTTTTTTTTAGAGCAGCATAAGTTAAGGAAAGTAATGGATTAGCGGCACTGCTTGATTGTGTGCCGTACAATAGAGTTGGAAAGAAAGGGGGACACTTTTCCAAGGAAAATGTAAATGCGGTTCTTAGCTAGCTGCATTTTACATGACTCCGCTATTACTAAAAGGGTAAAGGGAGGTAAAATGGAGGGAGCATCAACCACCAACACAATGTCATCGATTTGAGTGATGGATTCTGACCCCTCCTCAAAGAGACTATCAGATGCCAGATTTGTAGTCAAGATTTTCCAAACATTAATGCACAGCCTTGCTCAAAAGGTTTCATAACGACATGCGCTCAACCAGGCAATCATCTTTGGATTCTCCTGTTGCACAGGCTTGGAATTTAATATGTAAGAAACTAAAGAGTTTTGGAGCCTTGAAGCATTTAAGGACCAGGAAGAAGTGGGAGATTGTTGTTGGATTACAAAGCATTGAGGTGGGAGGCAGCCACAATGAGGTATCAAAGGCATCCAACCATTGATAGGTGTCAAAATAGCTTCTTGATTTAAGGAAAAATTATTCTCCTATGTTAGGAAGGAGATGCTAATATTCTTTTTAATTACCGATCTAGTTCATTTATTTCTTAGATTGTAAGATTCTTTCTTTTACTGCAGCCATTTGAAGATGAGGTTGACTTGCTCCCCTTTGTGCGCAACGAAGTCCATATCATTAATGAGTGCAAGCCAAAAGCTTTTCGAGAATGAGATCTCAAAGATAGTTGTTAACTTAAGATTCTCCTTTTTAGGTAATTAGATCTGAAGAATGATGATGTGTGTGTGTGTTGTTTTTGATAGGGTGAGGTGTAGGGTAGGGGGGGGAGGGGTGGCTTTGCAGATAGATAGAGATTTTGGTGCAAACTAAATATAATGTGACCAATTGACAAGTGATGGTTATGGCAGACAAGGCGGGGCGGGGGGGGGGGGGGGGAGGGAAGTTACCTATGCATGTGAAGGATCACACTATCCTGCCATAGTAAAGGAACAGGTTAGGCCCTAGTTTGGTGGTCGAGCGATCAAGTTCCAGGTGATTGACAGTGTAAGGATTGGTTCTCAGTTGCAAAGCTCTTGCTGTTAAAAGCCAACCTCACAGTCGAAACTAAACAATGAAGCAATGAAAGAAAGACTCAATCGCCTAATCTCCTACTCAGATCTGCCCGCTACAAAAATTATTATTAAGAAAAAAAATCGGTTGATTATACATTAATTGGAAGATTAAAAAATCGCTTGATTATTATCTTCAAATAGAGAAGATAATAAGCCTACTTTTCACATTAGATTAGCTGAAACAGCTCTGTTCATAACATAATCGCAAAACCATATAGAAACACTACACTAATTGGATAGAATAAGAAAGTTCTGAATTTCTAATTGCCACTGAAAGCCCCAGTGACAGCAGATTATCAACATCTGTGTAAATTAATCTTCATTTCAACCTGCCTAATAAGAAATAGGATAAGCTGAGTGTACAGAAAATAGGAAAATTATAGCTCCCCAAAGCTCCGTTTTTTTTTTTTTTGGAAATTGTTGATGATCACCCCAAAGCTTATCTTTGGCATCCACATTACTATTTTTTTAATCATATATTTGACATCAACATAATTATTGAAGACATTCCAGCGAATATGCAGTGGTAAAAGAAATGATTATATAGGTTTACACATCGTAATTGATGTCATTTCAACAATAAGTGCATTCCAACTACTAAATAAAACATAAAAAAGGGTGCCCTTAAAACTGCAAACGCCTTGAGCAACACAAGAAAAGTAATACATGCATATCATGGTGATAAGAAATTACCACAAGCAGCAGGGTTCCATTAACATGCATAAAAATTTCACCATACCTGTAGGTCCAGTGTAGAACGCGAGCTGCCTACAGGACAAAAACAATAAATAAAATAAGAGCACTTTAACAATTGTTACATCAATGAGATAACTGAAAAGATAATCACAGCATTCGCTTCTTAAGGTAGTCCTTACTCTGTTGCATAACCTAACCGTTCAGCCAAAGGTGTTATGCCCAACGAGCTGAAGAAGAAGACCCATCCCTGCAACATGGATAACCTTATTTCAGAAGAGCAACAACTAAAAGGGCAAACCAAGCAAGAGACCCACTGGACAAAAGTTACATTAGACAAAGATTATCACTTTTCTTAATGAAGTGCAGAAAACTAAATTTCATAAATGTAAGAAAGCTTCAAAAAAGTAAATACAAGTATAATGGAAAGTGACAAAGCGTACATGCTTTCCTGTGAGATAATGCAGGAGAATCGCAAGGGGGCCACAAGGTAGTAGCAAGTTGATTTTCGCTTTAATGAGAACAATGTAAATGCTCGTGAATACTCTATTTCGTGATCGCTTTGAGATCCATGTATGGGAAAAGATTGGAAATGGACCGTTAGAAGATGCCTCGGAACCATGTGACTTTCTTATGACGGGTGATGAAATGACAAGGATCTCCTCCTCACTGTCACAGTCTTGTCTATCATCTATCGATCCCATCTAAAAATCAAAGCATCCATATTAGAATTGCAAAGAAAACAAAGAAAGCAGTGAACATTAAACATGAACAAGTCATAAGAGATGCGTGCTATAAGCAAAATCAAAGATTCCCATTTTGGAAAATCCACAGGCTTTTGCAGAACAGCATTCAGAAACTTGGCGAGTCTGACTCAAACTCATCCTAGTTACTTGGACTTGAGAGACTGCCGATTTCAGAACAACTACCATGGGAATCAGCTGTGTCTCGCAGGTTCCCAAGATTTTATTGTTATTATCTTGGGACTTGGCCAAGTCTCTTACAATCTCAGCCAAGTCTAGCCACTTGACTCAGGCTCGGGATCCTAGCGAGTCCCAACCCGACTCCTTGTTTTAAAACACTGTTGTGGAATCAACTCACTTCAACTTGAGGATGGGGCGTGAGCATTTTATGGGCCTTGTCATTAATCTTAGACATTTGCTACAGGATGACAGCAAGCTCTATCTCAACTTGCACACACCTGATAGAGCACTGCAAGCAAGCCCACACCAACGTTTCCAAGTCAGACTCAATTGCACAGCATATAACCAATTGTGAGATAGATTTTATGAATTGAACATCAAATTATGCACATAAAGTTTGACTCGATAGGGAAATACACATTAACGGACCAAATAACCCCCCGGCGATTAATTGTGATTTCTCGAGATTCTAACATAGAAAAGTATTGAAAATTGATAAGAGTTGAATTGAAGCAAGACATGACAAGGTCAAATGGTACACATTGTCATATGACAATTTCTTGATTGCATGAAACCTCATTACTTGGGAGTTTTCAATCAGGTTAAGACCCAAAATCAGGCCAAAAAAGGGAACTTGGAAATATTTAACATATTTCCTTTTTAAAAAAAACAAGAACATGGACATCGCAAATGCAAAGACACGGTAAACCGAAACTTTAGCAATTTCTTACAGCTTTTTTGCATTTCAATTCCTTGTTCAACCTGTGTTCTGAACAAATAAGTCGCAGACAAATTTCATAAACAATAAGCGGGTATCTACAAAAGATGGGAAACTATGTCCAATAGCCATCCTACAAGGGAATATCAAATGGATAATTGCAATAGGAAGTGGTGTCTCCATTATCAAACTCTTGTTCTTTTGAGCGGAAACCTGAACAATCAAAGCATCAAACTAGTGACTTGTAGTTTGACCAACTGTTACAGACTTGTAGTTTTTATAGTTGAGACAGAACTATTCAGACCCTAGGTATTCCCCAAAATATCAGGGCAATGAATTCACCACTTCTTTTTCTTTACTGTAAGCAATGAGATGTTACATAGAAATTTCATTTTTTGCTAGAATCCCTAACAACCATGTGTTCTATTTTACGAAGTATCTTCTCATTCCTTTCCTTTTTCATAATTTCTCATATTTTATAAACAAAATTTCAAGCTTTTCCTAATTAGAACCTCCCAATATATTCCGCTATGGAACAAACAATCATTGAGAAAATTATTATGTGACAATGCACTCCAGCTGAAAAACACGCTAGAAAACATAAGATTTGTTAAATACAGAATAATCCGTCTTTTAAACTCAGAAAGATAAACAAGCAAAATGTAGAATTGCATGCCTTAAATGTGCAGCAAATAAAATATAGCAGAGAAAATCAATCCCAAGTGAGTTCAATCCAATCGAACAATAATAAAACATTAACCTAAAAATAGGAAAAATAAATAAAAAAACATAGCATATAAACACTTCAAAAGAAAAAACGTACAGAAGGTAAGAGAAACAGAATCCAGTCCCCAGGACAACCGACGTAAAATGCCTTAAATCTCTACAAAACGAGCATAAAAATGCAGAGAGAAGCACTAGAAGCAGCGAACCACACATCTGAAAATAGGAAAAGTTACAATACAAAATACAAATCAATACACAAGTTAACAAACCAGAAGCCAAGATTCCAACTGGTAACCATAGTAGTACGTCCTACATCTACAGAGAAGAAAGCAATCAACCAAACAAAAAACAAAAAAACAATACACACAACATAAATTGAGATATTTTGTCGTTATTTCCATAAATGAAAGTAAAATAAATCTCAGAGAGAGAGGGGAAGGGTTTTCCTACACATTTAGCACTCTGAAACTGTACACAGGCGAATGAATAACGATCTAATGGCCCGATGAGTCGCAGATAGTACGATCACATTCAATAAATGCACAGTGCCTTCAAGAGAGAGAGATTCAAGGGAATTTAGAGAGAGAAAGAGAGTTGTGTTTGCAGAGAAAGAAGAAAGGTTTGTCCAGAACGAAAATTGAAGGGTTTCTTGCGGAGATTTATTAGAGAGAGGAGGTAAGGGGTACGGAGAAGAGAGGAAGCTTCGTGGAAAGAGGGATTTACAGGCCCGCGAAAGTAATTTTTAAGTTCGGATACGAACAAGGAATAAATAATCTTTTTTCTCGTTATTATCGGTTTTTAACCGTTGTTTTAACGCTAGATTCTATAGAGAGAGAGAGAGAGAGAGAGAGAGAGAGAGAGAGAGAGAGGCAATTTGCAAACAATATGCAGGAGGATAAGTGGACACGAGAGAGAGATTGAATAGGAAAAGGAGCGTTAGTTAAAATCTATACAAGAGAAGATTGGAGTGTTAGTTGTTTCTTTAGAGAGAGATTCGAGTGTTTAGAGTCGTATTATTTTAAAGTATTTAGCGTGAAAATATTTTCACATCTAATCATATGGAAGTAATTTTTTACGTAAAAATATTTTTAATTTTTAGAATGTAGCGTGAAAATATTTTCACGTATAATTGTATATAAGAAATTTTTCACATGAAAATATTTTTAATTTTTAGAATGTAGCGTAAAAATATTTTTACATCTAATCATATGAGATAAATTTTTCATATACAAATATTTTCACGTGAACTAAAGTGAAATTTATTTAAAAAGAGAGCGGTGGGAGTGTCGTAGTTTTGCAGTAAGGAAAAAGAGATGAGAGAGTCGCAATGGCAAAGGAAAAATAAGTAGAGATGTCTGTGAGAAAGAGAGGAAAAAGGTCAGTAAAAAATACATAAAAGAGTGTCAGAGTGCTAATTTGTTGGAGAGAGATTGGATAGAGAATGTGTAGCAGTTTGCAAATAATTTGATGAGGAAAAGAGACAGCTGCAATGTAGGCACAAGAAACAGCTATAAAATAAAAGAAAAATGGTTTGATAGAGCTGCAATTTTATTAAAATAAATAGAGCCTCATCTCATAATTTATAAAAAAAAAAAAAAAAAAAATTCAAATATGGGTGCGGCTTGTATAGAGCCTTTGCTCTAAATAATCAAATTATAACCTACCTACAAATAGTGTTGAGAAAAATGGTTTCAACAATGAAAATCTTTAAGATAGTATTAAAATATATTATTATATGTAATTATAAAATTTAAAACTATAAAAGTAGTGTAGATCGAGTCGATCTAAAAAAAACTTGAAAATTGACAGTTAAAAAATGCGATACAAGATACACTATTTTCAAAACTTGAATTCATTTTTTCGTATGTCCATGCTTCTAGATGTCGAGATGATCAATTTGAAGATATTTGGGTATCAAAACAAACCTCTTCAAGTGAAATTTTTGATGTGGGCCTTAATTTGATTGTTTAGAGCTCTGGCTGGCTCTAAGTAGACTTTTTCTTTCACGTATTGGAAAACTTTTACATCCGTTGAAAAAAAAAAAAGATTTTAATTCCAAAAAACATGTATATTGTAATAAATTATCTAAACCATTCAATTCATTTAAAATTAAATGTTTATACACCTGTAAGATTTGTATCATTTTTTTAGTTTCAAAATTTATTATCAATGTTGAAAATTGATTTAAATCCATCGTGGAGATTTCTACTACTGACAATGCTTTTCAGACAAAGATTTGAGATGAAGTTTTATTTTGTTTTTATAAAATTTGGACTTATAATAATTTCATTAAAAAAAAAAAAATACAAAACAAAACGGAGAGAATAAATTGTACTATGACGTATCCACTTGTCACTGGTTTCAAGCCACTTGTGGATGGTTGGTGGATGAGACAGAGAGAGAACCGCGAGGAGTCGTGTCATGTTGCGGCCGTCTTGTCGTCTTGCTGTGGTCCCATGCTCTTTCATCACCGTCCGATGTGCACTTCTATGAGTACAATGTATTGGACTAGTGACGTTTTATAGTCCACATCAATTATCTGATATTATATTTGTGCTTGAAGCAAATAGTAAGGGCTGGCTTTGTATAAGGTGTCAAACTTTAAAACAATCCAAGTAAGGCCTCACTCTAAACTTGATCTGCAGATTTGAAATTTTATTTTCATCATTAATTATGAAATTTAGAATTTCAATAAATGCTACAAATCAAGTATACTTATGAATACTTGAAAACCTTAAAAATGTACGGCCTAGATAATGTGTTATAAGATGCAATATTTTTAGGATTAGAAATCTTTTTATTTTTTCTGTAAATGTCAAGATAATCAATTTGAGAGCTTTTCTAAATCAAAGCAACCTTTTTCGATAAGTGCTTAAGGTACACCTTACTTTATATTATAAAATTTTACATCTAATGTAAACTTTTTTTAAGTACAAATACTAGTTAGAAGCCTGATAGTGTTTTTCAGACCTCAAAATATCATCATCATCAAAGCATTTTTTCAACTATTTAGGTCGCCTAATCATTTTGCTCTTTCGAGGGCCATACCCTCAGTGAGGCTATAAGTCCCCATATATTTTCTCACTACTTCAAATTATGTCTTTTTGAACATACCCTTTGTCTACTTAAATCAATTCACACTTCTTGATAGGTATTTTAGTGGGTTTGCATTACACATGACCGGCCCACTTAAATCTACTATCTCATCTTATCGTCTATTGGAGCCACACCTAAGTTATTGTGAATGTAGTCATTTTGAATTCTATCACTTATTGTCTTGTCACTCATTCATCTCAACATCTTTATTTTGGCTACATTCATCTTATGGGTATGTTGCTTGTTGACCGCCCAGCATTTTGCCCCATAAAACAAAGCTAGTCTCACTGTTATTTTATAGAATTTCCCCTTCAGCTTCATTAGTATGCGGTGATCACATAAAACTCCGATTGCACATCTCCACTTTGTCCACCCAGCTCTAATTCTATGTGTGATATATTCTACAATTTTACTATTTTTTTAGGTTATCGACCCAAGATATCTAGGGGTTAAAAAATTAAGGGATGAAACCCCTCAAAACTACCAACTTAAAAATAATAAAATAATAAATAATTTTATGCACTCTATAGACCATCAAGTACCCCAAAAAAAAAAAAAATCTCAACCCTAGGATTGGCCAATTTACCGTTGGTTTGTACAATAACTCAAAATCTCTTTTTTCTTGAAGCAATGATAATTAATATAAGTTAGATCCCAAATTTCCAGATCAGAAAATTTCCCCAGTGGGTTTTTCGCTTGAAAGAGCCAATGTACAATCTGCTCCTGCAGGAGCACCACACAAGTACACACGATCGATGGACAGTACTTAATATAGTTTATAGTTGGTAGCTCTGTTTCTTCTGAATTTAACAGTGACCACAAGTGAAGATTTGAAAAGCTTTAGTCGATGTGGGGTTCTTGATTGGGTTATATGTCAATGTAGATAGTGACTTAAACCTAATTTTTATTTTTGGGATCTATTGTTGTTGTGGCCGCAAATGGAAACTACATGTCTTATTTTTACTTTTTCATTACATATGCATCTTGACAAACATGTCCATTGCTATCCAATATGCAATCCTCGTGCCATAGAAAAAAAAGCTAACTCCCTAACCTATGTGCTAACTCCCTAATTTATATAAAAAAATAGAAAAGGGTCCGTCTTCCCCGCTAAATTACCCAAAAAAAAAAAAACAAAAAATATGCAATCCTATTGCAGTGGCCACCCATCTTGGTGTGTTTTCAATTTTGGCCTTATTAGTTTGGACCCGAATTATTGAATAGTATGCTTTCTCAAAAGAAGATATATTTCTCAAATTACAAGTGGTAGTGGAATGGTCGTCGCCTTACTCATTCGGTTACTCCACTCGTGGCTCAAGGCCATGTTGATAATGGTCTAGAAGCCTCGTTTGGATGAAGTTTTGGTAAGCCTGAGGTTGCAGATTGAGAGTGACTCTCATGTCGAGGTCGTTTTAGGCTCATGTGGAGGTCGTCATGAGCTTTGATGATCAAAGCTTTTTTCCAACTAATTGGGGTCGGCTATACGAATGTTGGTCAAATAATATGCTCTAAACATAGCGGCAAAATACTTAGCCAAAAGTAGTCACATTATCGAAGGCTAGAGTGTGGAGAGCTCCTCCCCAGTTTTTCTTTACTCCCTTTGCTTTTATATGATGTAGCAATTGTTTCCTATGAGAGGGTTGTCAAATGACTTTGATTTGTAATTTCTTACCCTACAAAAAGAAAAGATCGAGGTTTATACAAGCAAACCTCAAAACCTTATCAAGAAAATTCATTCAGGTGACAAAAAATAGTGAATAGTGTGATGCCTGTATATCCATTTTCCACCTCTCAATGTGGAATTTGGAACCCCAAAAAATTGTGAACATTTAAGTAGATCTATCACATTAACCATTAATTACCTTGACTACATCAATTAGTTACTTCTAATAATCACACACACACAATCGCCAATTTCACCACTTGAGCATTTATCCCATTTTTTGGGTTAGATGGATTAACTTAATCACATCAATTAGTTTTTATTGTCACCGCTTCATCAATTTCGAAAGATGATCACTCGATAATAACTTTAATTAATTGCTACAACAGTTGTTTTGTTCCCCTTTTTGTGCATATGTGTGTGTGTTTTCTTTTTCTTTTTTTTTGGATATTTTTTTTCCCTTTTATTTTTGTTTTGGGTGGGGGAGGGTGGGCCACCATTGTGTTTGCTGTCCTTTTGGCTCACCAAGCCAAGATAGGATGAGCCCCACCCCAAATGCACCTAAAGCTTTCAACTGCCCAAGAACTCTATTAATTTTGGGAGCACGCCCTAATTATGAGATTATTATTTTTTAAAGACACATTAGTGCTTGAGAAACTTATCTAGGTAACAAAATGATCTAGGCCTTTTGCATTGGAAAGTTTGAATGATGGCTTGAGCGTTGGTTTTACCAAAGGGTGAATACGGCTGCAACTTTAGGCTACACCTCAATAGGGGTGGCATCAAGCCGGACCCGAATTCATTGGACCTGGACTTGGACCCAAAAGTATAGTGTGGGACCCGGACCTAACCCAAATGTATATATATATATATATATATATGTGTGTGTGTGTGCGTGTGTGTTTAGCTATATTTATATATATCCAAAAAATATTACCTGACCATGACCCAGACTCGAATAGTGTTTGGGTCCAAGAATTGGACCCGGACTTGACCCACTGGGATCCAATTTTTGGACCCATACCCGGACCAGATAGGGTCTACCCCTCGAGTCCCGGGTTGGGTCCGGGTCCATTGCCACCCCTACACCTCAAAGCCCCACCGAAAAAAATCTGGTATCTATAAACCTTATAATGGTATCTAAATCCATTTTAGCCCTGATTACAAAAATTGAAGCTCCAAAGATCAAGTGCATTTCTAAAGACTTCAAATAAATTGTTCAAGAAAAATATAGTAAACATGGACCACTTTAAGACTCGAAATTTTATTTTATTCTTTTTCCGTTTTGCTTTTTTGGTTTGAGATCCATAATCATATAGAAATAGCCAGCCAACCCCAAGTAGTTAAGCTAAGCTCAGATTACGATGATAATAATAATCTGATGTGAAAATAATAAATTTGCAAACTTTTGGAGAACAACCATATAAAGCTGCAGCTTTACAGCAGGGTTTTCCTCGCATCTACTTTGTGTCATATAATCATGTTGATGTGTAGGTGAACCCCTAAAGAGTGACATTAAACAAAGTCGGGTGTTAAAAGGGTATTGGAATGGGTTGTACCTGTGATCATGTGGGCAGTTGGGTCGATTAATTATCAAAGTAAAATATTTTCCTTTCTACTTGTAAAAGAATTCCGACTTTGAGCACTGTTTAATGATGAAAGGAAAAAGTTTATATAAGGTTGAAACTTTAAAATGTAGAATAAAAGGTGCACCTAAAAAATCCATCGTAAAAAGTTGTTTTGATGTTGGCAAACCCTCTAATTGATCATCTCAACATCAAGATATATGAATATGAAAAGAAAAAAGATTTTGAGTCCAAAAAGTAATGTATTTTGCAACACATTATTTGGACCGTTGATTTTCAAGATTTTCATGTGCTCATCGATCTACTTGATTTGAACTATTTTTAGAGTTTAAAGTTTTATAATTAAAGATGAAAATACATTCTCAAGCCATAAAAAAAAAATTTATGCCAAAATTATATTTATGTTAAAATTTAAAAGTGCACCTTAATTGGATTGTTTAAGGTTGCAACCTTGTTGAATCCACATCCATAATGAAAAGCAGGGATCTTTCCTCCACTATTCACGGGTGAATTCTTTTGTTAACTAACACTCCTATTTGAAAAAAAAATATTGACAGACAGCCCTCAAAATGTTCATTAACTTTGCAAAAACAAAAATTATCAAAAATATACTTTAAATTTTAGATTATTAAAAATAAACCTCAAACTTTTCAAAACCCCATGCATACCTTTTTTTTAGGTGATTAGACGGAAATAGTTTCCACGATAGTCTTAGAACCATAAAGGCATCACGGTCTATTGAAAACCGTGATAGTGCTGGGTTGTACATCAAATATAGCTTTGAAGCATCATGGCATTTAAAGAACCATGATGGTCAATAAGCCATTACGGTTTTAATTTAACCATTATAGCTTCGTCATGGGGTCATGGGGCATAAGAACTCTTAACGACCGTCATGGCTTTTTAAGTACAATGATGTCTCTCAATGACCATCACGGCTGTTTAAGTGTCGTGATGCCTCAACACATTAAACCGCCCATGACCATCAAGATAGTAAGTCTACTGTGCTGTCTTAACGGTCTTAACACTATTGTGAAGGCTATTTTAGTAAAAAAACCAAAAAAACTATGTATTTGCAAAGTAGATCAACATCTTTCTGCCTATCCAAAAACAGGATGAAAATTTCAACTTTCATTGATGGCACTTTTATCATGTAACTTAATGTTTGGAAAATGAGCTTCCCAATCACCAAGATGGCCTTTGTTTTCCAAGGACAAGGCTGTCTCCCTGAAAAATTTAGGAGATTTCATAGATACGTTACAACCATTCTCACTGGACCATGAAATATCATTCTAACATCTCTGATTTGATAATAATACTTTCCTCAAAGCCAAGAAATACATTGACAGATATTATGATTTTCCATATGAAATAAACTCCCAGAGTTCATGTTAAAGCTGAGACACGTCTTTGATGGCTTTAAACTTCCTTTCGAGTCTTCAGATGCTTCATCTTTCTCACTTCTCACAACTGGGCTAATCTGTGTGGCGGATTTAAATGCAATATTAATCAAGGTGGGTGTAAAAGAGGCGGACAGATCTTCAGAAGGCTTCTACATTCGATCTGAGAGTGCAATCATCTTGAAGAACTCAACCATCATATGTCAACAAGAACGTGGTTCTTGTGCTCCATGGAGTACGAACTCTTTACACTCAAACATCAACTCATTTTCATATCTTTGCAACACAAATCTCTCCTCCGGTGCTATTAAGTTAGTGACAGTGCACATCTCATCTGAAAAAGGGCGGCGGCCTGTCCTACCAGCCCTATGGAGATACTCGATCGCAGTTCTTGGAAGATCAAAATTGTAAATGTGGGTAGTCTCTGGGAGATCTACACCTCTGCTAGCTAAATCAGTAGCAACCAGTAGAGAACGTCCTTGTCTTGCTTCCTGCAAATCAGCAGGACCAAATCATCGTTCATTCAACTTGTAGAAATGATTACAATTGTGCAAATAAAATATACTGTCACTACGAGAAACTTTGTGCTGTTCCTGGCAAAGAGATTGTCTATATATACAGAACATGTGATTTTTGGTAATACATACAGATAGTGAGAGAGTCCGTGCATTGATGCTCATGCCCTCCTCAAGGAGAAAGATTTCAGAGAATTCAGTAGATGAAGTTCTCAGAAACTCCATGATCCACGCGGCTGGCGGTGGATTTCCGGCCATTATTGATTTCTGAGACTGCATAACAGGGAAAGAAACATTTCCTACAATTAATGTAGGGCCATAAAATGGGAAAAAAAGGTTTTGCCATATCAGAAGGTATCTTATATAGCAAATATAGTAGAAACAAAACAGTATTTTGTTCCTAACATAAGATGCCTTGACCATCACTCCATGAGATATGGAAAAGATTTGCATTTCAACAAGCTTAATACTCATAAAACATGCAAATCTGGGGACATGTATTCTATAATGGGGATGATCTATCTTTTTAATTGATTTTATGATGCCCAACACAAATAAAATTTGTTTTTGCAACGAGCATCTAGAAATAAGGGATGTAACACTCAAGTGAATTTTATGTAACATGAGGACTAGGAACATGAGGACTTGGATCCGATAAAGTAGATAAAACATATCCAGGTGAAACTACAGATATTTTCTTTGGCTTTTTATTTTTTATTTTTTCAAATCACATTATGGATATAAAGTGCCATTTTGGATATACCCAAATTTGATTTTTTTTGGATTTTAAACAATGTTTTAAAATGTGGGATGCAGACCCAATGCAGTTGAGGGGCCGTTGCGGCAAAATGCGGTCCAAATATAGGAACATCACCCTGATGCGGTCAATAAATATAAAAAATTTTCAAAAAATCTTATAAAGTAGGTTAATGCATGGAAGTAAATATAGTACTGATTTATGTGACAGTAGGTTTCCGGGTTCACTTGCCCTTTTAAATTCCACAAATTGAGTTTAGTAATTCGAGTTGTTGATCTACCGCACCCGAAATGGCTTTCTCATATCAGGGTGTTCCAGTGGCGTTCGATCGCAGTACCTCGCTGCATAAAGCACTACAATTGGTTTTTCAATTTTTTTTTATTCACTAATTCCATATTATCAACTGTCGGAGAATCTGAATCCCTTGATAGAAGACATTAGAAAGTATAAATTAGAAACTTGAGAGTAACTATACAAAAGACAGTAGAGGATTCATATTATCATAAACATCCAAAACCTATAATTGCAATTGCAAACTTTAAAGTTGCAAACTCCAAATAAATATACAACCACTAAAGTCTATGAAGAGTTCAAGCCAGACATCGCCCAAAAAGAAAAAGTATTAGGAAATCAAAACTTACCAAATATTGAAAAAAAATTGGTATCTTCTTGGTCTATGAAATCCTCGATGTGTTGACGAATCTATGCCTAAACTTCTTCTAATCGACGCCCAGGCTAATTCTAATTGACAACCCAACCAAGATCCAAAGCAATCCGACAATTTCGAACAAAAAAATTTCGCCCAATTTTTACTTTTACTGTTTATGATGATAAAATAGCCACCACCGTGGCTGCTTTTTGTGTTTGGGGGGTGCAAAGGGGGGGGGTGTTCCCCCGAAAACCCTTTCCCCCAAAATTACCCACTAACCATGCTGTGGGCATTATTTTTGCCCATGAGCCTGGGTAGTCTATGCGGGTGTTATGTGCTATGCACTATGCGCCCGCATATGCACTGGTACGTAGGCGCATCCCTAAAAAGCGCATATGTGGCTTAACAGAGTGGCACTCAAGGTTCTTTTGGCTTAAAAGAATGTTTACTTGAAACAACAGGCCCTCCTGCTCCTGCCCTAGCCTTTCAGCACAAAATCCCTCCAAACAGCTCGGGCCAGACATAACCACTGCCTGCCGGCCGCCACTTGCCACCTGCCACATCAGGTGATCCACCCTCCATTCTACATCCTTGAGTTGGCGGACGCCCTTGATCCTCTCCTTCGACTTTGTAACAAGGAGATCATGGCACCCTGTGCATCTCGCCTTGCCACACTTTCCGGGGAATCTTGACTTGTTTGTGGGCTTTCCAATGCTTTTTCGGACTGGCTGGGCATCTGTAATGCCAAATTTCGGATATTTGCCAAGCAGTTCCTCACAAACCCATGTTGTCTTGCCTCTCTCCTCATTCTCTCTCTAACTTTAGGGTTTTTTTTCTCTCTCTAACTTCTGTACAATTGGATCCTCTCTCTCTAATACTTGGGCAATAGGCGCCTTTCTTACTTATACGTGATTGGGTTTTCTCTCTTGCTTATGCAATGGATCTCTCTCTCTCTAACTTTCGTGCCCTTTCAGCTCTGAGAAAATGAAGGCATATGTTAGTTTTTATACAGAGAGAGCTATAGAGAGAGAAAGAGGGAGACTCTTAAGAGAGAGAGGAAGACTTCGGGGGGAAGACACTGAAGGGTTCAAGTGAGAGAGAGAGAGAGAGCGACAAAGGCAGTTTCATAGAGTATTTTAGACGTTGGGTTAGGTTAGAGAGAGTAAGAGAGACTTAGGGGGAAAGTAACTAGGTAAGGGTTTGAGAGTAGGAGAGAGAGAGA